ACGACCCCACCCCAGCAAGACCACACCCCAGCACGACCGCACCCCAGCACGACCTTACCACAGCACGACCACACCCCCAGCACGACCACGCCCCAGCACGACCACGCCCCAGCACGACCACGCCCCAGCACGACCACGCCCCAGCACGACCACCCCCCAGCACGACCACCCCCCCAGCACGACCACCCCCCAGCACGACCACCCCCCAGCACGACCACACCCCAGCACGACCACTCCCCAGCACGACCACACCGCCTTGGTTGAGTGGTTGCCTGTCGTCGTGGAATGTTTCGTGGGGTGTCTCGTGGAATGTTTCGCGGGGTGTCTCGTGAAATGTTTCGTGAGGTGTCTCGTGGAATGTTTCGTGAGGTGTCTCGTGGGCTGTTTCGTGAGGTGTCTCGTGGGATGTTTCGTGAGGTGTTGCCCAGTTGGGTATCATGAAAACGTGTCCATGCTCCACATGTCTATATCCCTTTCCGGGTTCGTGGGTCCATCATGTTTCCCGGAAAGGGCATGAGCCCAGGGTTCTCTTTTAGTTGGTAAACCTGTCCCCCGGTGCCAACTTGAGGGAGGCCGGCGAATTTTTTCCCTGATAAATAACGAGGTCGAAGGAGGCCGGCGAATTAAAATTTGAGGATGTCTCGAGCGAAACGCTTGTTTTTCAGAATTTCTTGAGGATGTCTCGAGCGAAACGCTGGTTTTGCAGAGTTGAGGATGTCTCGAGCGAAACGCTTGTTTTCAGAATTTGCCGAGGATGTCTCGAGCGAAACGCTTGTTTTGCAGAGCCGACCGCGACGCGGAAAAGCGCCCCGCGCGAAGGAATTTCGATGATGTCTCGACTAATTCGTTTGTTTTTGTACGATTTCCTGGAATTTTGGCAGGATGTCTCGAGCGAAATGCACGACCCCACCCTAGCACGACCATACCCCAGCACGACCACACCCCAGCACGACCAGACCCCAGCACGACCCCACCCCAGCACGACCCCACCCCAGCACGACCATACCCCAGCACGACCACACCCCAGCACGACCCGACCCCAGCACGACCCTACCCCAGCAAGACCACACCCCAGCACGACCACACCCCAGCACGACCTCACCACAGCACGACCACACCCCAGCACGACCACGCCCCAGCACGACCACGCCCCAGCACGACCACGCCCCAGCACGACCACCCCCAGCACGACCACCCCCCCAGCACGACCACCCCCCAGCACGACCACCCCCCAGCACGACCACACCCCAGCACGACCACTCCCCAGCACGACCACACCCCAGCACGACCACACCCCAGCACGACCACACCCAGTCGCACCCCCGTGGAATGTTTCGTGGCGTGTCTGGTTGAGTGGTTGCCTGTTCGTGGGGTGTCTCGTGGACTGTTTCACGGGGTGTCGCGTGGAGTGTTTCGTGAGGTGTCTCGTGGAATGTTTCGTGAGGTGTCTCGTGGGATGTTTCGCGGGGTGTCTCGTGGGATGTTTCGTGGGATGTCGCCCAGTTGGGTATCGTGAAAACGTGACCATGCTGCACATGTCTTTATCCCTTTCCGGGTTCGTGGGTCCATCATGTTTTCCCCGGAAAGGGCTTAGGCCCAGGGTTCTCTTTTAGCTGTTTACCCCCGGACCTGACTTGAGGTGGGCCGGCGGAATTCTTCCCTGCTAAATATCGAGGTCGAGGTGGGCCGGCGGAGTGATTTTTAAGGATGTCCCTCACAAATCTTTTTTATTATTATTTCAGAATTTGTTGAGGATGTCTCGAGCGAAACGCTTGTTTTGTGTTATGGATGGTTCTTTCCTGGGGACCAGACTTCAGAGGATCTCTCAAGTGAAATGCTTGGTTTCACGTGCCCAGGTCTTGAGGATGTCTCGAGCGAGACGCGTGGTTTCACGCCTCCAGGTTGCCCAGGCAGAGGTCAAGCGCCAGGATTTGTTGAGGATGTCTCGAGCGAGACGCTTGGTTTCACCCGTCCTCGTCGCCCAGGCGGATGTCTAGCATGAGGATGTGTTGAGGAAGTCTCGATCGAGATGCTTGTTTGCACGTGTCCAGGTTGCCCAGGCGGATGCCTAGCATGAGGATGTGTTGAGGAAGTCTCGATCGAGATGCTTGTTTTCACGTGTCCAGGTCGCCCAGGCGGATGTCTAGAATGAGGAGGTGTTGAACACGTCTCGAGCGAAACGCTTGTTTTCACGTGCCCAGGTCACCCAGGCGGACGTCTCACATGAAGATGTGTTGAGGATGTCTCGAGCGAACGCGTCCAGTTCGCCCAGGCGGATGTCTAGCATGAGAATGTGTTGAGGATGTGTTGAGCGAAACGTTTGTTTTCACGTGTCCAGGTCGCTCAGGCGGATGTCTAGAATGAGGATTTTGACAGGATGACTCGAGCGAAACGCTTGTCCCAGCACGTTCCGTAGCGCGTCCCCTTGGCACGTCCTACGGTGCGACCCCATTGCACGTCCCCTGGCACGTCGCCTGGCGCGTCCCGTGGGACGTTCCGCGGCGCGTCCTCCTGGCATGTCCCCTCTGTCAATTAGCTCTGGGGCAGCTACCATCAGCTCTGGCAGCTTGAGCTTAAGATCCAGATCAGTTCGGTCAGGACTCGGATGCCAGGGAGGACTCGATCCACAACGCATGTATAGAGCACACTCGCGGCATGGCACATCGCAGTTCTACACGCCCAAGCACGGCACAGCCGTCGGCACGGTACATCAAGATCGATACAATCAGCATTGCAACTTGGCACGTTCTTTGGCACGTTCCGTGGGGCGTCCCTTGGCGAGTCCCCCTGGCACGTCGCGTGGCACATCCAATGGAACGTTCCGTAGCGCGTCCCCTTGGCACGTCCTACGGTGCGACCCCATTGCACGTCCCCTGGCAAGTCGTTTGGTGCGTCCCTTGAGACGTTCCGCGGCGCGTCCTCCTGGCATGTCCCCCTGTCAATTAGCTCTGGGGCAGCTACTATGTGTTCAGGCAGCTCGAGCTTAAGATCCAGATCAGTTCGGTCAGGACTCGGATGCAAAGGAGGACTCGATCCACGACGCTATGGAGCACACTCCAGGCATGGCACACCGCAATTCAGCACGGTGCAGCACAGCACAGCCCTTGGCACGGTACATCAAGATTGATACAAACAGCATTACACTTGCCCGTCACCCAATCAGATGTTTTTGCAAACGTTGCCATGCGTTACATTTCTATTCCTTTCCGGGTTCGTGGGTCGATCATGTTTCGTTCTTTTCCATAAGTTGTTGAGGATGCTTCGAGCGAAACGCTTGCTTTGTGCTATATATTGTCCTCTCCTGGGGATTAGAATCCGGGGGATCTCTCAAGTGACATGCTTGTTTTCATGTGCCCAGGTCTTGAGGATGTCTCGAGCAACGCGTGGTTTCACGCTTCCAGGCTGCCCAGGCAGAGGTCTAGCGCCAGGATTTGTCGAGGATGTCTCGAGCGAGACGCTTGGTTTCACGCGTCCTCGTCGCCCAGGCGGTGTTGAGGAAGTCTCGATCGAGATGCTTGTTTGCAAGTGTCCAGGTTGCCCAGGCGGATGCCTAGCATGAGGATGTGTTGAGAATGTCTCGAGAGATACGCCTGTTTTCACGTGTCCAGGTCGCCCAGGCGGATGTCTAACATGAAGATGTGTTGAGGATGCCTCGAGCGAGACGCTTGCTTTCACGTGTGCCTGTCGCCCAGGCGGATGTCTAGAATGAGGAGGTGTTGAACACGTCTCGAGCGAAACGCTTGTTTTCACGTGTCCAGTTCACCCAGGCGGGTGTCTAGCATGAGAAACTATTTAGGATGTGTTGAGCGACACGTTTGCTTTCACGTGTCCAGGTTGCTCAGGCGGATGTCTAGCATGAGGATTTTGGCAGGATGTCTCGAGCGAAACGCTTGTCCCCAGCACGTTCCGTATTGCGTCCCCTTGGCACGTCCCGCGGTGTTTCCCCATGGCACGTCCCCTGGCAAGTCGTTTGGTGCGTCCCTTGAGACGTTCCGCGGCGCGTCCTCCTGGCATGTCCCCCTGTCAATTAGCTCTGGGCCAGCTACTATGTGTTCAGGCAGCTCGAGCTTAAGATCCAGATCAATTCGGTCAGGACTCGGATGCAAAGGAGGACTCGATCCACGACGCTATAGAGCACACTCCAGCCATGGCACATCGCAATTTAGCACGGCGCAGCACAGCACAGACTTTGGCACGGTACGTCAAGATCGATGCACTCAGCATTGCAACCTGGCACGTTGCTTGGCACGTTCCGTGGGGCGTCCCTTGGCGAGTCCCCCTGGCACGTCGCGTGGCGCGTCCCCTGGCACATCCCGCGGCACATTTATTGGCACGTTCCGTAGCGCGTCCCCTTGGCACGTCCCGCGGTGCTTCCCCATGGCACGTCCCCTGGCACGTCGCCTGGCGCGTACCTTGGGACGTTTCGCGGCGCGTCCTCCTGGCATTTCCCTCGGCCAATTAGCTCTGGGCCAGCTACTATGTGTTCAGGCAGCTCGAGCTTAAGATCCAGATCAGTTCGGTCAGGACTCGGATGCAAATGAGGACTCGATCCACGACGCTATAGAGCACACTCCAGGCATGGCACACCGCAACTCAGCACGGCGCAGCACAGCACAGTTTTCGGCATCGTACATCAAGATCGATGCAGTCAGCATTGTTTTTGCCCGTCACCCAATCAGGTGTCCTTGACCACGTTGCCACGCGTTACAGTTGTATATTCCTTTCTGGGTTCGTGGGTCGATCGTGTTCGCTGGGTACAACAAAGTGGGGAACGTGCGTGGAGGATCGCATGCGCGCCTGGAAGCTAGCTTGGAAGTCTCTCGGGTCATTGCATAGGCAGACATTCCATGCGATCCCTCTTTTGCGACAGAGCATCATATGCACTCCTAGCTGGGTATCAATGTCTCAACGATAGGGAAGCGTCAGAGGCCTTGTGTCAAACAGGTGAGGGTCAAACGAGTTGCGAGGAGGCCACGTCGGGGGAGGGGGACCCCTCCGAGGCGGCCCTGGGCAGCTGGATTCGCTGGTCCCCGCCACCGCCCTCTCGGAGCTGCCCGAGGGTGATGTCAGGACGCACGGTCCACGCTAACAGACTATACGCGTGGGCGGGCTGGGCAGGCGGGGAAGAGGCATAAGAAGAGCGGGGAAGTGGCAGGGGGGAAGGCAGAGGAGGAAGATGGGATCAATGCTCCAAGCGTAGACCATCTTAGGTTTGACCTTCTCATCCAGCTGCACCCAGCAATTCCGCCACCGTGCCAGCGCAGCATACTGAGTGGCGGCTATTCGGAGTGGCGCGGGGGGCCGTCACTTTTGACACTTCGGACCGTTTGAAGGCTCTGCGGGCTTGTTGAGTGCATCTTGGGGGTCTTGGCTCGACTGGCCCAGAGCCCGAGCCTGAGCTTGCGCCCCAGACCGACGCACCCACGACGACAGAGGCGCCGACGCCGCTCCGACTCCAGCAGAGGCACCGACGCCTGAGGCAATGACAGGCGCTCGCTCCCCCCTCCCCCCCGAGGGTCATATTTCGAAGAGCGGCGCATGCGAAATTGACGGGCGCTCGCCCCCCTGGCCCTCCGAGGGCCAGGTTTCGAACATCGGCGCCTGTACAGGCGGCAGTGCCCCCCCGCCCCCACCAGTTCCATGCCGCGGGGCGCGGGACGGCGGGAGAAGATGGCGATGACCGCCTCCAGGCACTGCGGAGAAATCAGGAAATCAACAGAACGCCTTCTCGTCCTCCTCTTCCCCCCTCGCCCGCAACGGTGTGAGATGGGCATCTCACTCGAACTCTCCGCGCGTGGCTCCACGCTCTGGAGCCGCTTGTGCTGTTTTTGAGCCCGTCTCGGCTCTTGGGGACCTTGAGGGCCGTCTGAGGGCCCTCTTGGACCGTCTGGGGGTCCTCTTGGGCCGCTCGTGGGCCATCTTGGAACACTCTTGGGCCGTCTTGGGGCCCTCTTGAGGCCCTCTTGGGTCGTCGTGGGGCCATCTTGGAGGCTTCTTGGGCTTTCTTCAGCCGATGAAAGCCCGGAGAGGAGAAAATCCGAACATCTGTCCGCCGAAGCCTAATGTGCATCACTGAGTTTGGTCATTTTGGGCCCTCCTGGGGGTTCTCTTGGGGCCCTCTTGTGCCGTACTGAGGGCTCCTTGGGCCGTCTTGAAGCCATCTCTGGCCGTCTTTGGGCCATCCCGGGCCTTGGGCCATGTTAACGGCCTTGGTGCCTTGCCTGGCCTGTGTTGGAAACCGTCTTGGACATCTTGGACGCCTTGGAGAGCGCCAGGGAGGCATGGGGTTGCCAAGGGAGTGTCGAGATATGGGGGGAGATGCATCCAAACGTGTGCGTCGAGTGTGTGTGTGTGTGTGTGTGCGCAAGATTTTCAGAAGCCCTGTCAGGCGGCAGGACTTAAACTTTTACCACGCCTCAGCGTGCCAGGGGGTCACTGTGGCGGATACCTCAATGGTCTCCGCCGCTAGCGTTAGATGCCTTGGCGGTCCTCAATGCACCACGCTCCACATACAGAAGTGCTTCTGTGGACGTACTCATGTTGGACATAAACACACGTCTTCAAGATCATCGAGAGGAAGGCAAGTGGAAGCGTATGGGACAAGGGGTCGAGACGGAGACATGGAGGGGACTGGCAGGCATGAAGGGGGATCTTGAAGAAGGTCAAAGAGGGGCTAGTACAACAAACGTCGTGCGTACGTCCGGCGCTACCTGGTTCAAGGTAGCGCTGTCCTATTTGCCTGTCTCGCGCCTGCGAGGCGCTATTGAACATCTGCGTTGGATCAAGGCCACATCCATTGATGTTTCATCCGTCATCTCTCATTCCTTGTCGGGCCCCCCACTGGGACCCCGCAAGACATGTACCTTTTAGCGAATTCGTTCGCGAAATACACGCATGGCTTAACGTCACAAGCTGAAGCATGCTCCACCACAACAGGCCGCCGCGATATAGCGCGGTCTAGGGGATCTCGCCAGGACCCTGGCCATGAGGGCGCCGTCCACAATATTAATTACGGCGTAGCTTGACAGGGTAGACGCACCGATGGAGGAACGCATACCTCCTAATTTCCACGTGTAGAAACTTCGAGGAATGGGTGCCAGCTCACCTCAGGAACAGCCCTCGTCGACTTCAGGGTCAACCGAGGCCAACAATTGATTCAGAAATGGCCCGATTTGAGATGGCCAGGCTGGAAGCGGATAAGGCGGGCTTCAGCATACCCACCTTCCATATCCTGACGCTTCTATTATTTCGCGCTCTTGGAGTAGGCGTTTCCAGAGCATCGCAATTACTACAACCACTCAATCACAATATGTCCCGTATCCAACAACAGTACGATCAACTGCTGGTGCGCAGCTATGGACACTTAGCTGAGCGCGCTCCCTGGAACATCGGAACCATCTTCAGTGGCCGCAATACCGGCAATCATCATGCCGAAAAAAGTGGCACGCTGGCGGCCACGTCGGGTAACATGTGGAGCGATGTGGCAGGACCGCACAGGGTTTTGGCTCTAATACTAGCTGGCCATCAGCTGACAGCTACGCGCCGCCCGAAACGATCAGCCTTTGGGATTCGTCCATCCAACAAGGGGACGAGCCTCTTGATGGTCTCTGGGGGTATCCCGAGGATTTTTCGGAGCGCGCATATCGAATGTTAAGTTCGGGGTTCCCTGCTTGGGCCCCTGTGGGGGGCCGTCTTGGGGCCCTCTTGGGCCATCTTGAGCGCTTCTTAGGCCAGTGTGGAGTCCTCTTGAGCCGTCTTGGGGCCCTCTGGGAGGCGTCTCGCGCTGTCTCTGGGCGGTCTTGGGCGCTTTTTGAGCCGTCTTGGAACGCCAGAAAGCTGCAAAGGTGAGAAAGCCAACATCTTTCAAACACTTCCGTAGTATCTACGATTCTGGCCTGTTGGGGCTCTCTCGGGAGGCCCCTTGGGGCGCGTGGCTTCGGGGTCGCGAGCATTGCGTACATTGCGATAGATATGGCCTCGCGGGCGCGAGTCTCACGGATTTCCACGCGTCCTTTCGCCCGCCTTCGCCCGCCGGGAATTCAGGGAACGCGATTCGGGCGCGGTGAATTTGATTCCTTTGGGCGCCCCCCCATCGCGCGGACTTTAACAATTTGCAGCAGGTCGCAGAAAGCAGGATTATCACATTGGAGACTTGAAACTGCAACTGGTGCAGGGAGCACCAGCTTCGCCCTGCGGCCTGGTGGCTTTGTGCTTAGAGTAAGCAGCGCGCCCGCCCTCCCCCTCGCCGGGGTCGGGCGCCTTCGCGTATCATGACATGCACGAGACACTCTAGTGCATTTGATTACTGGATATTCTTAAAAACGCGCCATGGTTTCAACCCGCACCTTCTCCGAGATTTCATTTGGGATCACCGCGAAAACATTACCGACCATGACATCCAGAACAAGTCAAGATAATCTCCGAATCCGTGATGAATCGGCACACTACATCTTTTGATGGGTTGGATGGCCGCAGTCGTGCGGGCACCTACCTTCGCAGTTGCCAAAAGGGGGAAAGGGGTCCTCCTCCTCCTCCTCCTCCTCCTCCTCCTCCTCCTCCTCCTCCTCCTCCTCCTCCTCCTCCCCCTTCTCCTCCTTTTCCTTCTCCTTCTGCCCCTCCTCCTCCACCTCCTTTTGCCCCTCCTGCCCCTCCTCCATTTCTTCCTTCCCCCCCCCGTCCTCCTGCTTCCCCTTTCTCCTCCCCCTCCTCCTTTCATCCTCCTCCGTCTCCTCCTCCGCCGCTTCCTCCTCCTCCTCCTTCTCCGCCTCCTCTTCGTCGTCCTCCTCTTCCTCGTCTTCGTCCTCCTCCTCCTCTTCCTCCTCCTCCTCCTCCTCCTCCTCTACCCCTCCCTTGTTAATGTCTTCTTCCTCCTCCTCCTCCTCCTCCTCCTCCTCCTCTTCCTCTTCCTTTTCCTCCTCTTCCTCCTCCTCTTCCTCCTCCTCCTTGCCACCGTATGGATACCAGCGAATTCCTGCGAATTCCTCGTCTTACTTCTCCTCCGCCTCCTTTCCGCCGTGTGAATACCAGCGAATTTCTGCGGATTCCTCCTCCTCCTCCTCCTTCTCCTCCTGTTCCTCTTCATTTTCCTCTTCCTCCATTCGTTCTCCATATAGATAATTTCTCCCTGTCGCACCCCGGGGCCAGTTTTTAGGGCGGGCCGGGCGTTTCGCCTGACACTTCCTTACCATTTCTGGTTCTGAAGCTTAAACAGTGGGAACAATTACACAGATAGAGGGCGGGTCGTTTTCAACATGTGGTTCTCGCCTCAGCGCCGCGCGCATTCGTTTAAAACATTGGCAAGAGTTTGACGGATTGAGGGCGGGTGGTTTTCAACATGTGGCTCTCGCTGTTGCACCGCGCACATCCGTTTTAAACATTAGCAAGAGCTTCACGGATTGAGGGCGGGTGGTTTTCAAAATGTGGCTCTCGCTTCAGCGCCGCGGGCCGTTTAAACAAATGTTGCTCTCGCCTTGGCGCCGCGCGCATTTGTTTTAAACAGTTGCAAGAGTTTCACGGATTGAGGGCCGGTGGTTTTCAACATGTGTTTCTGGCTTTAGCGCTGCGCGCATTTGTTTTGAACATTGGCAAGGGTTTTACGGATTGAGGGCGCTTCCTTATCAAGATTTTTGCAGATATCTATGATCAACGTACCAGACATGGTCTTTTGGTAGGATTCAGGATTCTGCGGGCGCAACAGCTAGGTTGATTCGCTGTGTTGAAGCCCCAAAAAACTGCGTTCTGGCACGATTGTGGCTCGTCAAGACGTAGCAGTCAAGTTGATACGTGGCGTTGAATCCCGAGAACCATGTTTTGGCCCGCTTCAGGATCTTCAATATGTTGTCTTCCAACGAGGCAGTTCCTTCAATGGAAATGAACCGTTGTAGGGGCCTATGAAGAGGGAGCTTGGAGGGAGGGTTAATTCCAACACCGTTGATGACTCGTGGGTTTCCATTGGTCCTCCTTCTCTTCCTCCTCCCCCTCCTCCTCTCCAAGACTCTCCTTTGGGACTACCCACGAACCCCCCGAGGAACCTCCGAGGATCCTTCGCGAAGCCTCCAGCCCCTCCGAATACCTCCATGGCCCCGACGTTCGGGCCGGCCGCCCCCGCAGGATGAGCGCGCCGCTGCCGAGCTGCTACGCGTGGGCCTCCGCGATGCGCGTCACGTCCTCGCGCGGGGTTTGTTCCGTGTACGCATGGAGGGGCCCGGCGGGCAGGGAAAGGCGGGGGGCGGGGGGCGGGGGGCGGAGGTGGATTAGGAATTATTGGCGAGGAGGAGGAAGAGGAGGAGGAGGAGGAGGACGACGACGAGGAGGAGGACGAGGACGAGGACGAGGACGAGGACGAGGACGAGGAGGAGGAGGAGGAGGAGGAGGAGGAGGAGGAGGAGGAGGAGGAGAGGGAGGAGGGTAGGAAGAGCAGGAGGAGGAGAAGGAGGAGGAGGAGGAGGAAGAGGAAGAGGGGGGGAGGAGAAGGAGGAGGAGGAGGAGGAAGAGCAGAAGGTGGAGGAGGAGGAGGAGGAATTGGAAGAGGGGGAGGAGACGGAAGAGATGGAGGAGGAGGAGGAGGAGGAGGAGAAGGAGGAGGAGGAGGAGGAAGAGGAGAACGAGGAGGAGGATGATGAGGAGGAGGAGGAGGAATAAGAATAAGCATGCCAATATTGATAGTAAGACTAATAGCACGATTAAGAAAAACGATCCGACGACGATGAACAGTTGTAATGGTAATACTAGTGAGAAGAATACGAAGAACACTCATCATACTAATACTTATGGTGGTACTAGGAGGTATTTTTTTATGCTAATGAGAATACTGCAAGTCATAATCATTCTATGAATATTAGAAAAAACGTGTTCTACCGCTGCTGGCGGAAAACCGGGGGGGGTCACTACAGGTTCGACCCCCCCCCCCTCCGGAAAACCGGGGGGGGTCACTAACGGTTCGAACCCCTCCCCCCCCCAGTCCATCATGATTCGAACCCTCCCCCCCCCCCTCGAAAAGAACCCTCCCCCCCCCCCTCGAAAACCGGGGGGGTCACTACCGGTTCGAACCCCCCCCCTTCGATAACCAGGGGGGGGTGCGGACAGTGTCGGGGACGGTGGTGGTGGGGACAGTGGTAAGGGGACAGCGGGACAGTGGTGGGGACAGTGGGACAGTGGTGGGGACGGTCGTGTTGGGGACAGTGGTGAGGACAGTGGTGGGAACAGTGGGGACACTGGGACAGTGGTGGGGACGGTGGTGGTGGGGGCAGAGGTGTGGGGACAGTGGGAATGTGGTGGAAACAGTGGGACAGTGGAGGGTACAGTGGTGGTGGGGACAGTGGTGAAGGCGGTGGCGAGGACGGCGGTGGGACAATGGGACAGCGGTACATTGGGGACAGTGGTGGGGACAGTGGGGACAGTGGTGGGAACAGCGGGACAGCTCAGTGGGACAGCGGAGGAGTCAGTGGGACAGTGGGGACTGGGGATAGTCGGGCAGTGGTTGAGGCCGTGGAGAAAGTGGGGAGAGTGGAACCGTGGTGGGAACAGTGGTGGGGACACTGGGGACAGTGCGACAGTGGTGGGAGCACTGCTGGGGACAGTAGGGACGGTGGTGGAACCAGTGGGGACAGTGGTTGTGAGGACAGTGGTGCTGGGAACAACAGTGGGGGATGTGGTGCGGACGGTGGTAGGGACCAGGAGTCGTTTGCTGGCGGTGAGGCGGGGGGGAGGGGTTCGATCCGGTTGTGACCCCCCTCCAGTTTTCGAGGGGGAGGGGGGGAGGGGGGTTAGGGGAGGGGGGGGGGTTTGCCGGGAGAGGGGAGGGGGGGGAGGGTTCAGCAGGGGGGGGAGGGGGGGGTTCGGAGGGGGGGGACCCCCGGGCTCCGGAGGAAGAGGGGGGGGAATTTTCCACAGTAGAGCGGAGGTGGATCACGCTCTCTCGAATATTACGAAGACAACTAAGACTAATACTATACATACTACTGTTAATACAAACTACGAAGAATAATAACCGCCTGCCGATGATAAAAAAGACCCCCCTTTTCAGGCTAGAGTATTATCCACGGCCAAGAAGAGTTTGGTCAGGGGCGCGGGGCGTGGAGGCCGAACTTTTTTCGATCACAATGAAAAGTTCACCATCGAGGTTAACTTCCTTCTTATGTTGAGGTAGCAACATGAAACGAAGCGAAGACGTTGTCGAGGATGTCTCAAGCGAAACCAACAGCGTTCTCTTTCTCTCTCTCTCTCTCTCTTCTGTCTGCTCTTCCCTTTCTCTTTCCGTTTCCTCCCCCCCCTGCCCCCCCTGAACTTCTTTATCGTTGTGGTTTACAATACACGAAAACCGAGGCACGTGAGCTACCTACACGAGCAGATGAAAATCTGACTTTCCATTGTTTGTTTACAAATTAAATTTAATAGGTTTGGAACGTTGGCGTTTTTCTTCCTCCTCCTCCTCCACCTCTCTCCTTCTGCCTGTCTATCTTTCTCTATTCTCTCTCTCTCTCTCTCTCTAAATATATGTATCTTTCTGTCTCTGTCTCTTTCTGTCTTCCTCCTTCTCCCCCAGGCACCCTGTTTTTTTTTTGAAGAAACCCAATATATATATATATATATATTATCGCTGTGGTTTACTATCCACGGAAACCGAGGCACATGAGCTACCCTACAAGAGCAAGGATGTCTCAAGGGAAACAAAACGATCCTCGATCCTCGGTCTTCGATTCTCGATCCTCGGTCCTCGGATTTCGGTCCTCTTAACATCAACTCTTTCTCCTCCCACACGCTGGCCTCCGGAAGGCAACATTTATAATCCCCCGGCGACCCAAAACTGTATTATCCCTGTGGGATTATTCTCCGTGGGACTTGGTTATAAAGCACAAGCAGACGAAACATACGAAACATACTACTAAGCCGAGGAGCAGGAATAATAATGTTGGTACCTTTGGGAGTAGGGAAATGAATTTTGATATTGAAATGAATACACATCGTATTACACATATGAACAAGAATACGGCTTAACATGATAGTACTAAACAGAACTAGTAATACTACGCCCAATAATACGATTCAACATAGTCATAATACAAACGGGAAACAGATGATGCTATATTTAATACAGATTGTATTAAACTTCGCCAGTATATCAATAACCATACACATACTAAGAACAAGCCAGTTCTACGACTGGTAACAATAATAAACACATTCATAATAAACTTAATAATGAAGCTAATCAGACAGCAGCACTCATATGAGGAAGACGACGGACAAACACGACACATAAGAAGAGGAATAAGAGAAGGATGAGGAGGAGGGGGAGGAGGACGGGGAGGGGGAGGAGGATGAGGAGGAAGAGGAGGCGGAGGAGGAGGAGGACGAAGGCGAGGAGGAGTAGGAGGAGATGGTGGAGGAGGATGAGGAAGAAGAGAGGGGGAGGGAGGAAGGGGAGGGGTAGAAGGAAGATGAGGAGGAGGAGGAAGAGAATGGGGAGGAAGCGGGGGCGGAGGAGGAGGAGGGGGGGAGGTGGAGGAGGATGAGCACGAGGAGGAGGAGGAGGATTAACATTTATAACTGTTACATCTATATCAAAAGGGCAATACGGATACTCGCCATATTCGTCGTAGTTTGATTAACCGCAAGAGTCACATGATTAGCTGTACTAAAATGAAGACTAAGAGTGATACTGAACATACTACTAATGATAAGCAGACGGGGACGTATATTATCATGTTTAATGATATTTGTGTCAGTACTAGCGCTATGTAGCAGTACTAATGAAGTGTAGCAATACCGGTGATGGTTATAGGGTAAGCATACAATGTTAAATCGCAATAGGATTCGTATTACGGATGGCAATAATACCAATTTTAATTTATCACTAGTCGTACTAGTGAGAGTAACGACAGTAACTACAACGCTATGAAGAAGGCACTGGTAACCAAACTGCTAATAATACGAACCATAATGGTAATACGTGCCACAAGATAGACATTAGTACACATACGGGTACTAATGATAATGCGAATGCTCATGCTAACAAGGATATCAAGGAAACTACGGTCACCAAGCATAGAGCTTGTTGCACTCATGGTATGATGAATGCGACACTACTACTACCTATACTAGTACTACCAATCGTACCATTGATAAGCTACGAATGCGGCTGACAATGCTAGTAGCACGAAGTAGACGGCAACTGATTCTATCATACTGCTAATTCAAAGATGGGTACGACTGGTCATACTCTCATGATATAGCAGTACTATGAATAATACGAGGAGAAGGGGGGCGAGGGAGGATGAGGAAGAGGAGGAGGAGGAAGCGGATAATGATGATGATGATGCTGATGATGATGATGATGATGGTGGTGGTGGTGGTGATGATGATGATGATGCTGATGATGATGATGCTGCTGCTGATGATGATGATGATGATGACGACGACGACGATGATGATGATGATGATGATGATGATGATGATGATGATGATCATGATCATGATGACGATGATGATGATGATGATGATGATGATGATGATGATGATGATGATGATGATGATGATGATGATGATGATGATGATGATGCTGATGATGATGATGATGATGATGATGATGATGATGATGATGCTGATGATGCTGCTGATGATGATGATGATGATGATGATGATGATGATGATGATGATGATGCTGAGATGATGATGATGATGATGATGATGATGATGATGATGATGATGATGATGATGATGATGATGATGATGATGATGATGATGATGAGGAGAGGAGGAGGAGGAGGAGGAGGAGGAGGAGGAGGAGGAGGAGGAGGAGGAGGAACACGAGGAGAGGAGGAGGGGAGGAGGAGGAGGAGGAGGAGGAGAGGAGGAGGAGGAGGAGGGGGGGGGAATAAGGAAGGGTGGCGGAGAGAGAGACAGCAGAGGAGGAGGAGGCGGATGACGAGGAGGAGGCGGAGGATGGGGGAGGCGGAGGAGGTGAGGAGGAGCAGGAAAAGGGAGGAGGAGGAGTAGGACGAGGCGGAAAAGGATGAGGCGGGGCACGAGGAACATTAGGAAGAGGATGAGGAGGAACCGGAAGAGGAGGACGAGGAGGAGGAGCAATAGGAGAAGGAGGAGGAGGAACCGGAAGAGGAGAACGGGGAGGGAGAGGAGGAGGAGGAGGAGGAGGACGAGGAGCACATTCAGAGGGGGTCTGGGATGATGCTGATGAT